CCTTAGTATCCATAGCAACTAGATACCTGTTGAATAATTTTAAATTTATAAAAATACAATAATTATCATAAAAATATGAAATCAATAAAATATTTGGCAGCATATACATAATTAAAATCATAAATTTGAAGCATGCAGGTTAAACCATATATACATAATCAACTGAGAACAGTCAAATATATAGATCTACAGCTCAAATCAATTAGAATTAGTAACTGAATAATTCTACACAATACTGCTCTAGTTTATTAACTAACTCTACTACTCCTTTATCAACTGGCAGCTGCAGTTGACTCGATAATCCTTCAGCTAACCATCTCTTTAGATCAGACTCCATTATTGTCTAGTCACGCCTTTGCTCAATATTAATTACTATGTTATCCAATTTATGCGAAAACTGAGCCAAAATAATACAAAAAAATTACAGTCTACTGCCGACTACAGATCAATTGCTAATTTTTTATATTATAGAATGAAATTGGCAAAAAGATTACAATAGTTAGACCTAGTTAGTTTAATTAGATTTTGTTGATTTGTGATTTTTCTTCTTAATCACTTTGACAAACCATTGGCCAGGTTTCTTGATATATTTTAGAGCGATTCTAAATGCTTCAGCAATTAGGTGGCCAAACTTCTTCTCGACTGCATTAATGCTCGCCTCAGCAGCATACTTATCAGTAATTTGAATCGGTTGGTTCTGCAGCCCATTAAAAGAACCAACTGTCTCATTTGCATCATTTTCCTTTGGATCCTCATCTGGTGTATCTTCACATGGTGTGTTTTCATTTGGGGCTTCACACATTTGAATACAATCACCTTCATCATCTTCTGGTGTTACTTCACATACAGTTATTTCATCAGCTTGAGTGGTTACCGCCACGTCATATTTTTCTGGTGAATCTTCATGTGCAATGTTTTCTTTTGTAGATTCCTCATGATGTGATGTGCTCTCTTGACTTGGAAGACTGCTGTGATTTTTTTGGCAAAATTGTTCACTTAGCTTGCAATGTAGCTCATCCTTATCACGCATTGAGAATGCTGCTGACCTGGGTCTTCTTTCTACCTGTAATCTTTGAGTGATAATTTATAACAGTGTCAATCTAATACCTCATTCTGTAGTGGTCGAAGATGACGTGGTTTTGATGGAAGCTGTGGAGGTTTACTTGGAGACTACAAAATATATTTTTTATAATTATTTTTAAAAACAATTACAATGTACCTTGTTTGGTTCATGTCGAGGAGATATGTTAACATTATCCTAAAACATAAATGATTTAAATAATAATAATTCATTATGCTATTTACCAACTGCAATGAAAACCGTCTATTTGTACTCTATGCATATTTAAAAAATGATAATTACTTCCATGCAAAAATCAAGATATCCTATGACAATGACTTACAGGACTGGTAGATGTCGGTTTCAGAAATGATTCATTTTCTTGAATTTCAAAATTCTATAAACTGAGATATCATTTATATGCTCAATATTTTTAGTTTACTTTGTAAAGCTCTTTCACTGAGAATTTAGGCTTTTCATTTTGTTCCTAAAAAAGATGTGCATGTGTTAAATTCATGTGTCATTTACAATCTTATTTATTAATGTACCACTTTTGTTTCGAATTTTTCTGAAGTCAGGGCCTATTTAACATCAAAATTAAATTAATAATTAATGATGTTAATAACCTCATATTTTGATTCTCTTACTCCCACATTAGGTTGTACTGGCTCCTATAATGTTAAAAAATAAAAAAAAATCGCTATCACATAATGGTAGGAAGGGAGAAGTGCCCTTCATATACCTATCTTTTTCTAGTTTACTTATGTATTTTACAGCTGAAAATATTTGTGGGGAATTAAACTTTTTAAATTCGCAATAAATTCAGTTATGCCAGTACAAAATAATAGTCAAAATCAATCTTAAAGAATTCACAAATTTTTTCTCTGCAAAATTAATTGCATGGCTGTATACTGTATCATAATGGTTGTACAGTATGATAACTTACTGGTAATACATTAACAGTTGGTATCACTTGTCCATCACAATTTTCAGTTTCCCTTAGTTGATCATCACCTTGGCAAGCACTCGTTTCTTGTTGACCACCATCATCACCTTCGTCCACGGCAGTCATACGATGACTATTAATTTCAAGAAAAAGACTGTGCTCCCTGACTCGAAAACTGCAAGTCTCCCAC